TTTTATTTTGTTGTATTTATCCGCGACACCTTAAAGGCCGGTCTGTGAAAATATTGTCGGGCATAAACCGGTCCGTGGCGCAAAAAAGGTTGGAGACTGCTGTTCTATATCACTTCATCTGCCTCTCACATCATTATTTTGGTCCACTGTTCTTTACAGTGTTGCTTCAGTTTGGTGCAGTCCTTGTCCTGCTGAATGACCCAGCTTCAGCTGTCAGACAGATGGCTTCGCACTCGATTCTGAAATGCTTTGGTATACGGAAAACTTCACGGTTGACTCAAAAACTAAACGGTGCTCAGGGCCCGTGGCTGCAAAACAAGCCCGAATCATCACCATGTTGACAGTTGATATGAGGAGTTTGTCCTGATATGCTGCAGAAAGGGTGTACTTAGTTTTTCATTACATAGACTCCTTTGAAAACTTTCTTCTTCACGTAATCATAGATGACAGAAATGTGAATCTATATAAAAAAAACTGGCACAAATGCAGGATAGTTGCTCACTTAGCTGATGGTTTGATTTCCTGTCCATTTTTGAACCATTTGACTGCAACGTCGGGGTCAGCCACTTCCACTGTGAGATGGATCTTCTCGCCCTTGTCCACTGCGTACGCTGGATCCAGCTTCATCAGGAAAGCTGTAAAGACAAAGCAGCAGGCATACGCTAGCACATATTCCACCTGTCGTCCCAGCAACAAAACTGCTCCTCCTTAAAACGCTGGCCTTTATATGCTGCTGGTATTTACAGCCTGCTGCCTGTTATCTCATTCAAAGCACAAACTCTGCTTTTGCCTCATAACGCCGTCCCGTACCATCACTCTTTTTGGACTCAGCCTTCATCTTCTTCAGCCTCGTCAGCATACCCCTCAGGTCTGTGATGCCATATTGAAAGGCAATCTTCTCATAGTCGCAGGGCTTAGCTTTCTTTAGGATTTCCCATACATCCACTTCTGGTTCCTCCTTCCTCTTCTTCTTCTGCCTGGTGGTGTTTAAGATTGATTGTGAATGAGATAATGAGTGCAAACCAAGTTTAAGACACATAAAGATGGAAGATGCTTCTCCGAAAATGTAAATGATCTTGCCTTTTCTTGAGCAGTGCGCTGAAGTCTAGCTCTCCAGCATCCTCATCTGCATCTCCACTGGAATTAAAAGAAATTCAATTCTGGGATTATTATTTATTTCGTTTTATCCTGTGCTTTTTACTTTATTTGTAAATTAGGTGGCAAAAAAAGACATTAATAATATATTTACATTCAATAATATATCCTTTTTTATTCCATATTACACATAGGAAATTCTAATACGCAATAATACTGAAGATGGTCGAACAGTAAACTTCTAACAAATTTGTGCCTGTGGTTAACACTTACCCTTTTACCATCCTGCATTCAGAATGACGCAACAAAGAATATAGGGGCAGTGAGAACATAGAGTGAATCATAAGCTCTGATCATGCCCTAAACTTGACTGACAGAA